GGTTTCCCCTTGAGTTTGTTTATCACTGCGTCTCATATTCTGGTGCTTAGCAGAGCTGATAGAGGCAGGGACGCTCTGTGCTCGCCTGTCAGACTTTGACTACATTGTATGCGTTGTAGACTAAGTACAAGCCCGCTTTTCTTCTGACAGTGTTCACCCACGCTGTGTTCTGCAGCATGATTCACTTGAGCATCTTACAACCTACTGCATGTGTCGAGTACACAGCTGTCAGAGAGGTGGTGCCGACACGTAGCAGGGGGGCTCCTACCAACTGCAAGAGGATGGATCCTTGCAAATGTTTCCAAAAAGTCACTGTTGAATTTTTTTATCCAAGAACTGCCTAAAGGAATCGCAAAAACCCCTGAGATGTACCATGTTTTTTTTATTTTAAGACATTGTTTTTTTCACGGTTTTCTGACATTTTATAACCTCTAATGACAAAATCATAAACAGATAGATGAATAATGAAGCTGCTCAGTAGTTGGAGCCTCAGTGTGCTAAATGCAACCCATCTGCTCCTCCATTAAATTAAATAAACCCATTCCTCACATTTTAGACTTATAAGGCTGAACAGGTGTTAGTGCTGGCTTGGATATGAACATGCACTTTCCTAACTGGCCCTGAACGCATCCTATGTGTGTACATGGATGCCCTCTCTTCCTTTTCCCTCTCCACAGGTTTGGTATTCTTTTACAAAGCAGGATTAGCGAAGAAAGTACTTTGTGAGATCCTGTAAACCAGTCTGCATATCTGAACAATATTTCTAAACCGAATATTGAAATGTGGGTTTATAGATTGAAATCAGTATTACTGAATAATCTTTCACAGATATGTGGACATCCTTCTAATCCCGATTTGTGAATTTCCCAGCGAGGGAGTATCGTTTTTTATGCATTTCCTAAAACCTGCAGACACCTCCACCTCCCCTCTCCTCTCCTCTCCTCTCCTCTCCTCTCTTCTCTTCTCTTCTCTTCTCTTCTCTTCTCTTCTCTTCTCTTCTCTTCTCTTCTCTTCTCTTCTCTTCTCTTCTCTTCTCTTCTCTTCTCTTCTCCTCTCCTCTCCTCTCCTCTCCTCTCCTCTCCTCTCCTCTCCTCTCCTCTCCTCTCCTCTCCTCTCCTCTCCTCTCCAGCTCCTCTCCTCTCCTCTCCTCTCCTCTCCTCTCCTCTCCTCGACCTCTCTCTCCTCTCCTCTCCTCTCCTCTCCTCTCCTCTCCTCTCCTCTCCTCTCCTCTCCTCACCTTCTCCTCTCCTCTCCTCTCCTCTCCTCGTTTCTTATTCATGCTCTCTTTCATCCCTCATTTCCCACTCTCCATTCCCCCTTGCCATTTGCCTCGCACACACACACACTCTTTCACAGTTGGCTCTTCCCCCATTTCTCCTCCCTCCCCAAAACTCCCCTCCGTCAGTCTCCAGCGGTTGCTGTGGTTACAGTTTGTTCTGCTCATCAGGCGCCTGCTGTGCCTAAACAGACTGTCAACAGTTTAATTACTCATCTTCTCATCCCTCTATCTTAACTTACCGCTGCACTACGCTTTTTTTAATGTATTGACGCGTCACTTCCACCTCTGACTGGGGAGCCTCTTAGTCACTCCTTCATCTCTCCTTTCATACTCGTCTTCCTTCCATGCTTTTATTTGACACTCCTCACCCGTCTTACTACAGTCTAATTACTCATTCTTTTAACATTCCTCTAATGTCATTCATTCATCAATCACCCAGTGCTTTGTTAGTTTCCTTTCCTCTCTATTCCCTTATCCCCGCCCCCTCTTATCCACCACCTCTTTACATTCTTCATTACTCAGTCTCTCTTCCTCCTCTGAGTGTTCCTCCCTATCTTAAACAGTCCGTCTTGTAATTACGTCTCTTCATCACGCTATCGCTCCTCACCCCTCCGTCCATCATCTACTCTCCTCTTCCTTTAGCTGCTGACAGTGTCCTGATGTCTCATCCTTTGATTCTCCGTCTCTCCCTCCTCAGCCTTTCACTCCTCTCCCTCCGCCATTTGTCATTCACTCGTCCCTCCTTTCATCCATCAAACGCCAAACTTCCTGACACTGACCATGTCTCCCTTGCTTCAGGGTTTCCAATCTCTCACTTCTCGCCTTGATTGAGAGCTGGGAGAATCAGAAAGGTGTGTGACACCCTACATCTTTCATTTATCATCGTCTCTGATGTCTTTGTGTGCCTCTGTTTCTTGTGGTTGTCCTCCTGTATCTACTACACGTGGGGATTCAGTTGGTCACCTCTCCTTGATCAATTCATATCAATCTTTCCCCCCTCATCCCCTTCCTTTGCACTCCTTATTCCTAAATGAACCGTTTGTCAGAACCCTCCCCAGAACAGAAAACAGCCAATCACAGCTTAGATGCTTTAACTCGGTCTCTGTTGTTGAAGCTGTCAACATGGATCCCGAAAAACAGCTCTCATCCTAAATGCCTTTTTCTGTTGTAGCTTAAAAACTAGAAGAGAAATCAAAGAGAGAAAAACCTTCACCAATGCCTTATTGGAATAGTAACGCTGTATTTTCAGATCTGTTCCAACATTTAATGGGTTATTCTTTCTCCAAGGCTTCACCCTTATAACAGGTCCAATCTAAATCAAGCCAATAGTATTTCCACAACCCTGCTCAGAAGGGGACAAATATGTTAAACTAACACAAAATGTAACTAGCCAGATATTTAGTATGCAGTCCTTTTTAAGTATGCCTTTGCAGTATCCTTTTTTTTTATTAAACTAAACGTCTGGAAACATTCATAAGTCATTTGGAGACCGCTTTTCCAACCAACCAACAGCTAGCATTAGCTTAATGAGTTCTCTAGCTACAGCTGATCAAATCTGACAGTTTTCATTTCAGGCTGCAAATTCAGACCAGAAATGAGTGAGCATGCTTTTGTTCAGGGACCCGATTTATACAAAATTAAGAATGTTATTGGTAAATTGGCTTGTTAGGAACTGCATATGTGCCGTGCTATACCAGAAAGCAGAGATTGAGTATAGGGAGAGGCCTTGCAACTGGTCGATTCATTTAGCCGCTTCTTACTTGCTTTCAATAAGTGGTCCATTGCCAGCCATTTTTCTTCCCTGCTCCTTCATTCACTTGCCGGTCTGCTCGTGTTGGCGAGGCCCCAGTGAGCATCCCATCTGCTCCTGCCTCTCCCTCACTGCAGCCTCCGAGTGACAGACACATGATTAACAAGATCATTTGGATAATGTTCGTTTCATTCCGCCTCTGTTTCCCCGTTTGAACCGCATGACACTTACCTGCTCTGTATTCTCCTCACTATCACTAGCTGGAGAGCAAATCCAATTATAGAATTATAATGATTTGCTTAATGGATATCAAAAAGCCTCCTTTGTTACACTTTTAAACCGGATCCAGTTATCATCTTTGCAGAAATAGAGCTGCCCTTGTTCAAAGCCGGAGTCAAAACTGCTGTAAACTATCAACAGAGGAACTAATGAGCCCTGTCTCACTTATTCAAAAACACTTATTGTTCATACAAATAGTTTCACATGCGGTTGTTTTGTTTTTGTGCCGGATACCTTTTGTTTCCAGGGTAATCAACGTTTCCTCCAAGGTAGAATTTCACTTTCCCCTAAAGTTAGCCTGGTAATTGGCTCGTCTCTACACGGAGAAGCCTCATGGTACAACACATTCCCCTTGTTGTAACATCTGTAAAAATCTCATTACTTGTTGTTGAACGTGTTGGTGATCTTTGACAGACTTTTTGGGGTCATGGTAAACTAATTATAGCCAATGGTACAACAGTGTAAAAGCTACACAATGACGTCCATCTGTCATTTCTAGTCATTTCTTCCTCACATGGCTTTCTATTTGTATCTCCGTGCAGATCATTTAGCATTTGGTCCGATTGTGCCGCCTTCTAATCCATTTTATTGTCTTGTCACTCTTCATTCAAGACTTTTTTATCTCACTTATCAGTTAATCAATTAATCCTTCAGTCTTTTAGTGTCTTCTCAAAAGTCATTCTCCTTTGTCTCAATCTTTTCCATCATACCATCCTCTGATGTGATTCCCCAACATAAACCCGCCATCATTTCACTCTTTCTTCCTTATTTCACTTTAATCCCCCTGTTTTTCCTTTATTCTCTCTCTTTTTCCTTGTCTTTTGAAGAAGTCTATCACTCTACTTAGTGCAATCCTATAATCTGACCTCTCTTAGTGCCCGTCACCCCTCCTCCCATCTCCATTCATTTCTCGTTGCCCTCTTCTCCTCCCATATCTTCTCTCCGTTGGCCTGATCTCCTGTGTCAGTGTGCCAAATCTGTGTATGTGTGCTCAGACAAGCTTACGTAAATAAAATACAAAACGAAGGGAGAGTTACTCTGCCAGACACACACACTCACACACACTCACACACTCTCAGCCCTGCATCCACACACTCTCACCATGATGCACACACAGGTGAGCTTACATAAAGGTGACGGATGAAAGCCAAGCGAAAACGCAACTAGCGAGTAATCTGATACAGGACAGCTGGCTGACACTCACACACAGAAACACACACGTACAGAGAGAGCAGGACTATCAGTATGTAGAGCAAAGGGAAAAGAAGGGGGGCGGGGGGGGGGGGGTCAGGATTAAAATAGAAGCATAGGGGAAGAAACATACAATTGTGTGCCACGTGGGGGATTTGATTGTGTGTCCATATGTACTCAGACATTTGCCTCTTGTGTTTTTGTTATGGATGCTCATCTGTTCATTATTTATAGGCCTGAGAGAGTGTGTATCCCAATGTGTGTGTGTGTGTGTGTGTGTGTGTGTGTGTGTGTGTGTGTGAGAACAAAGAGTTCCCATTCCAGTGAGTGCTGGTGTTCACCGCATTGATGTGCTCAATGATTCAGCACAAGAGGGCTCACCATGCAAACATTGATTCACCTTTACTGGGACAATATATGCCAACAGTATGTGTGTGTGTGTGTGTGTGTGTATATATGTGTGTGTGTGTGTGTGTGTGTTTGAAACAACATGGACGTTACCTTTTCCGTCTGTGCGGCTCTGTAATCCGAATCAGCTCCACATGTTATCCAGGTTTGTGTGTGTTTGTGTGTGTTGTGTTTAGCACAGATCTCGCCCCAGGTGTTTCTCCTTGTGTTAGGCCAGCGGGAGGAGGATTGAAGTGTGTGTTGGGGGGGGGGGGGGGGGGGGGAAGAGAGAATAGGGTTGTGTGATTGTGCTGAACCTGTCCTACTCCCCTTCACACACACACGCCTCCACACACATCAAAAGGAGGCGGATGTGGGTCAGTGTCGGGTTTAAAAAAGGAGGGTTGCAGAAATCCCACAATATCCTCTTAGGGCTTCTATAGGTGAAGAAAAACCTGGAGAATCCCGAATGACTCGCTGAATCCGGCTGAGGTACTCGCTGAATCCTGCTCTGGTACTCGCTGAATCCGGCTGAGGTATTCCAAAACCCAGACTTCAGGCAAAAGATCCACTTGGCTTTAAATCCTATTTATGGATGTGATTCCATCATAGTTGCATTTCTCTGTGGAGCTGTCAATCGACACAAAAGGCATCCTGGAGTGGGCGGCAATCTTCACCTCCTCTCCTCACCACCTTCCTCCTCCTCTTCTCGCTCCCTCTCTCTCCCCCCCTCACTCATGCAGCCCCGTCTTCTTCTCTCGTCTTTCACACACACTCGGTGCTCTCCCTCCTCTTCCTCTCATCACTCACTTCTTCCCCGAGTGGTTTCCAGGGTGTGTCGCTGAGGCTCTCCACGCTCTACGCCGCGTGTTTCGCTCTCCCACTTTGAATTAGTTGTTCATCGATGACCTTGGAGGGAGGTGCAGAGAGGGAGGGATGCCTAGAAAACCTGCAGAAAGAGGAGACACATGTGACAGGGTGAACTGACTGCACTGTACATGTGTCCCATTAATGTGCACTCGCATGGATCACACACACATTGAGCCCATTATCACTTTCATGTCCTCCTCTTCTGACCTCACAGTCATCCCCCCTTTCCTGACCGCTGCTGTCCAACATCCTCTCTTATGGCTTCTTTAAATCTCCTTCCCCACTATGCCACCTCTAATTTCGTCTCTCGCCCCCCACCTGCCTCTCTCCCTCTCACCTGTCTGTCAAATACAATCAATAGTTCTGAGACCCTCTTAGCGCTTCTCAGCAGGCGCCTTTGGCTCTTTTATTTTATTTGCAGACATTGGCCCTGTTCACACACACACGCACACACGCACACACACACACACACACACACACACACACACACACACACACACACACACACACACACAACCACTAAGTAGTCATGCAGTGATACACTCCTGCAAGCACACACAGCCTCTGCATCCCTCTCACTCTCTCTTCCACACACACACACACACACACACACACACACACACACACACACACACACACACACACACACACACACACACACACACACACACACACACACAGCCTAGTGAAACAACTGGGCTATTGATCAGCGCCATGAATGTCAGACAGTTCAGAAGTCTGCCCCCCCCTCCCCTCCCCTCACTTGCCTGTCAATCAAACTCCAAAAGCCGACACCTTGAAGAAGACAATCTCATTATCTCGTTCTAAAGCTGCACTCGGTGTTGGTGTGTGTTTCTGCGCGAGTGTGTTCCTCGGGGTGTGTGCATCCGTGCTGCAGCTGCATATAAAGCCGGATTCTTCCAATTGGAAATCCTTGATAATCTTTTTCCTTTTCATTCCGTTTCTAAGGCATCTTCTCCTTCCGTGTTCACTTCACAAAAGCAACTACTACTAAAACAATTATAAGTCTCCCTCTGCTCCTTTCATCCTTTTCCCCAACACGTCTTATTCTCCCTCCTCCGGATGAAAAAGGTGGAATCACTAACCTTATTTCTCGGATCATTCCACGGTGGCTCCTGCAACCGTCACATCTCCCTGTCTCCGCGGCTCTCTCTCTCTCTATCTCAGCTCCGTGGAAAAACACCCATCTCTCCCCCCTTCTCTCTCTCTCTCCTGTATCTCTATCTGGCGCTGTCTGTCCCCCCCCCCTCTCTCTCTCTCTCTCTCTCCTCCCGCCGGTCGTCCCCTCTCTCGGTCTCGACAGCTGCAGCGCTCTGTCTGCCTCCTCTGTCGCTGCTCCGTCAGGCTGCCGGCTGATTGAATTTTAAGTCATGTTAATCCCACAGAACAGGTACTGAATGAAGGAGGGCACACTGTAAAAAAAAGAAGGGAGAGAGAAAAATAACACAAAAAGCAGGGAGTATTTTTTGAAATCTCTCTCCTTCAGGGAGGTTTTCTCCCGTTTTATTTTCCTCCCCAGTCACAGCACTTCATTTATCCATTTTTATGCTCTTGCTTTTTTCCTTGATCTTTTGCCTCTGTTTGTCCTTATGTGGTGAAGAAGAGTGTGTGTCCCGACGAGGAGCAGAAGAGAGGAGTGTGATCCGGCTCCGGCAGTGGCATGCAACGGACTGAGAGAGAGAGAGGGAGAGAGACACACAGAGCGAGCAGAGAGAGAGAGGCATGAACATGAGGAGAGAGAAAGAGGGGGGAGAAGGTGAGGAGGAAAGGAAAGATGGAGTTTTAGAGGAGGAATTCTAACCAAGAGGAGGGGCGGATGGGAAAAGAAGAGGGTAAAATCAAAGAGATGAGTAACAATGATTATTGAGGGCAGTGGAAGGTAAACTAAACATAACATTTTACACATTTAAACTATTGAATAATGTTAATATATGATTAAGCTACAGAATTGAACTTGGTTAAATGTCCCTCCATTTCAATGAATATAGGGAAGTTTATTCAAAGTCAGTCCTATATCTGGTGGCCGACCGATACAAACTCGCTACAACGACCCAAAGCATTTCCTTTAGGGGAAACACTTTGCACTTTGAAACGATGCAAATATAAAAACACAAAAGTGCCAAAACGCATGCAAATGAAGAAACATCTTCACCAACTTGACAACACATGCGCAGCATTTAGAAACATTCTCCCACTTGACGAAACATGCACACAGCGGGGACCAGAGCGCTTGTTGACATTCGGTGATAGCTAACCTAGTAATATCGCAAGGGATCCGATCACATTGTTCAAATAAGCCAAACTTTTAGGCACATTCCCAACAAGAGTGACAGTAGGCCAACTTTATAATCCCGAACGTCAACAAGAGCCCCGTTCCCAGCTGTGTGCATCACTTTTTAGTGTCCCCTGGTTTCCATTGTGTTTCAAACTTCTTGCAGATCTTTTTATTCACAGCTTTTTGCTTATGCAGCGCTTTTAGTTTCTGCACGTGTTTTCGTCAAGTTGTGTTTACTAAATGCTGCACAGGTTTTGTCAAGTCGGTGAAGATGTTTTTCCTCATTTGCATGTGTTTGTGAACATGTGTGATGTTTCTGGAGCTGCAGCGAGTTTCTTCTAATGGGAATATGTTGAGCTTTTGCACCTTGTGGGCCACCGTACTCCTGCTGCTGTTCATGCCCACTAACACTAACTGTGTATTAATGTGTAGCCGAAAACAGTTTGAATGAAATGCACTGTTTACACCTGTATATATTACATCATTCATCCCTGCCATTCTTTAAATTGCATACTTTGATACTTACATTGTTGTGACAATACTTCTTTACCTTTACTTGAGTCACATTTTGAATACCAGCCACAAAATGTATTTGAGACGACTAAAAGATCCATATTGGTGTCAGGTGTTGGCTAAATTTAGAAAATGTTCTCTGCTTTACCTTCCCCTTTCTGTCATGCAACTGAAGCCGGTATCTCTGCCTTTTCTAAGCCACCAGACTCCTTGTGAGAAAAACTGTAGTTTCACCTTGCAGAACATGGAAGTGGCTGATCTACTGCTGTGGTAATACACTATGGATAAGCCCCACTTCAAAACGATGTCTTTAAGTAAAGGATCAGAATATGTTCAGCACAGATGGAGGGTTAAGAGAGGGACTAAGAAGGAGGAAGAGGAAGAGATAAAAGTCTGCTGGTATGACGAGCGGAAGCGAAGGTGCCTCCAGCAACTCTGGGTCTGACCGGGAACAGAGTTCTGATGATTAAGAGAGCACATGAGTGGCAATGTGGGAGGAAAGGGGAGGTAGAGGAGAGAGCGGATCTCTGGGGCATGAGGGAGATAAGTGAGGAAGAGAGGGGTTAGTGAGGGGAGAAGTGGATGGAGTGATAGCGCGGCGATAGGAACATGTGTAGCTGATAGGACTTCAAACGGTGGCCGAGCACTTCATCTCTCTGCTGAGCCCGTGGCTGCAGGGAATCGGCATTTAATCGAAAAGTGGCTGTGGGTGCATATATATATATATATATATATATATATATATATATCTGTGTGTGTGTGTGTGCCATTACTCAGGCAGAACCTCTTTTAGATATTGGATGTTGGAATTAAGTTGTTTCCAGCATTCACATACGGGTCTATTTTGTCACACAGTCCCCTCCTGGAGATGAAACATCGGAGAGAGTGCAGGGAGGATATTTGGCTGGAGGAATTGGTTTTTCTTGTTTCACAATTTCCACCCAGAAAGTCAATTTTGGTCCTTCATTCACTTCTTGATCTCCTGCGCGTCCAATCCCTATTCATTTGAAGCGTTTGCCTTCCAGAGCACTTGTACGCATATCACTTTTTTATTTGAATGTTCTTTTCTCTTCCTCTTCACACTCTCACTCCATTTTCTTCCTGCTGTTTGTGGGCCAGTCTATTTTTAACCTCCCGAGCCAGACCTCCCTCAAAGCAAGGTCCAGCAAGGAGAAGTTTGATATATCATTTCACACAAACGTATCCCGTTTACTGCGCTGCGGCTTTACGGCTCGTTGCTTCTCAATTAATCAAACCTCTAGCGGTTTGGCACCCGGTCCCCTCGTCGGGGAGAGTGACCTTGCTGAATGAAATAAACTAACGTGACCCGCCGCTGCGTGATGGATGGAGTGAGTTCACCAGCCAGGAGGAAATCTCATTACCCACTGGGGTGGTAGTTAACTAAGGCTTGTAGCAACTGCTTTCATTCGGTTATCAATACATTACAATCATAAATCGGGTGAAGGTGAAAGAGAAGGTGCCCTCAGAGCATTCCCCATAGCAACAATTTCATCGTAACACAGGGGTGAATAGGGTCAAATAAATAAATATGAATATAAAAGCTCCCCAGTTGTTAACTTAGCTTAAG